TACAAAATTTGTAGTTCAGACATTGCTCTTTCCAACAAAAAAAAATTTGATTGGTTTAGAAGTTGGCAATATGGTCTAATAGAGTCGAACATTTGTGCAAAGACTTTTGCACCGCATGTTAGTAGTGCCGCTTTTGTTTTTAGGGGACAATGGTAGATGATGCCCTCGGTGAATGCATTGTGTTATGAAAAATACCCAGTGTCTGTAAAGTGACTACATTCTCCATTATCCTTCCCAGAATAAGAGAAAAGCTACAGTACCAGTTTCATCGTTAACTACTCTACTGATGATTTGTATCTTGGTTAACATAGTGCATGTAGTGACGGCACCACCTCCTACTGCCCACTCAATGCAAGCTGGACCCAAATGTTTGGGCTTCATGGCTACAGTTTCTGTTAGTTCTTTTAGAAATCAAGATGAACTAATTGAATAGTTTACGAATCCAAATGGTTCGCTGCATGCCCTAGTTATCTATAAATCTTATTAAAATTAAAGTAATTGCCATTGATCTAACATTAAAAAGATACCTTTAATTAAATCTCCAAGAAGAGCTGATATTATAGGTCGATTAAGTTCTTGTTGATAATTCTTCATTACAACATTCATATCTTCATTTCTTGCACGTTCATTTAATGTTGACAAAAATTCTTCTATACTAGTATTATTAATTTGTGCTAATGTACCGGCATGTTGACGTCCATATTCTTCTAACATTTCCTCAAGAATTTTTTTTGAATTTGTATAATTTATTTGTGAATTTTCAAATGCAGCTTGTGATGAACGTGATTCAAATGTTGATGTATAAATTGTTTTTAATGGTATTATTAAATGTTCATCAATAAAAAATTTCAATGAATCATATGATGAATAAGCATAATTTATAATTTGTTCTTTATTCGTATAAACTTTATATAAGGTATAAAATCCTATCGCAGTAAAACATACATAATATGGAAGATAACGTTTAATATGTGTTGGCCTATAATATAAATGAACTGTATCAATAAACCGTAATTTAAATTCTTCAAATGCATTTAACATTTGAAAATATACTTCTATAACATCCGATAAATCACTATGAGAATTATAATTAACTGTTGTATTATCAAATAATATTTTATATAGTTCATTAGTAGAATTCATAATTAAATCAAGATTAATTTTTTCTTGTTGTTCTAAATTAGTTATTGTATAAGCTAAACGACCAATAATATTAGATAAATAATGTTCTTGTTTATTTAAAAATTTAACTTTTTCTATTGAACGTATATCATCTCGATTTTGATCATACCAAAATGTTGTTTTTATTTGATCAAATAAACCTATTTGAATTGGTTCATCATGTTTCCAATATTGAAGATGTTCTTTTAAATTATTAATATGATCAAGAAATATTTCACAAACTAATTTATGTGTATGAATTGATAGAAGTAAAAGATAATTTGTTAATGCACGAGAATATAAATCATTATTTATTGAAACTAGATTTAATTCTTGAATAAGTTTTATTGAATTTAATAATTGTTCACGTGTTAATTGTGTTCGATAAATAGGTAATTTATTTGTTAGACATGATGATAGACGATTTATTTCATATGAAAGAGTTTTACACCATAGATTAGTTATAGAAGTTTGTAAACGTTGTTGAAGATCGTCAAGACGTTTTTCCATCTACAATAACTTTATCTCTTTGTTTTATTTTCTTTCTTTGAATACATAGCAAATATTTACATGCAAATTTTAAAGATAACAAACAAGAGAACAAAAGAAAAAGAATTTTTTTTTTTTCATAGAACATCTGTATCTAAAGAAGTTCAGTTGCAGTTTTAATCCCATGAACTCCATGATGGACCTTGATTGTTACCACTACCACCACCACCACGTCCACCGCGACCACGACCATTATATGGTGTGTAACTACGACCACCACCACCACCTCTCATATTTCCTCGCCGCATTGCTCCACTAACATCTTCTTGATTATATCTAAATTTTTAAAACTATTCAATGTACGAAAAATTATTATTTTTTCTTTTAAACGAACCCTTGACCAAATGCAGGTCTATTACCATTTCCTTCATTAAAATTTGGATTATATCCATCATAATTATTATTAGGCATTTGTCCATATGAACCATTAAATGTATTTTGTTGATAATTATTATAACCATCATTATAATTAGATCTCGACATAGATGGTGGACCTTGTCGAGCTCGCATATTACCACTAGAACGTTGTGGATTGTCCTTCGATTGAGCTTTTTGAACATCGATTTGATAACCACATATAATATGATTTTTTTCAAGAATTATTTTATCCACAGGATCATAACTAATTATTTATGAAAAAAAAAATGAATCTGATCTCGAAAAAGAAATATAACTTACTCGTCAAATTCGATAAAACCAAAGCTAAAAAAAAAAATTAGAATGTAATATTAAAAGAAATACTTGTGATATAGGTTTAAAATGATGAAGAGACAGAAAATTTCAAACTCGATTAAATAATTTATAAGAAAATAAATTAAAATAAAAAGACTTAAACAGAGATCAAAATCAATGTGAATAAAAAATATTAGATCGATTAAATTATTGAGATTTCATTTAAATATCAAATTTTGATCTGAAACTTTGCGCATAAGAAAAACTCAACCACACTAAGTTCCATAAAAAAAACAAGTTTCCAAGTCTTGAACAAAACCTCTTCGAGATACTCTAACTCGATGTTTCAGACGAACAGTTCTTGTTCGAGTTCGGTAACTATTCAACTGGTTCAGACAACATCGTGCATTTGGCCAAGCGCTTTTTGAAATATATGGACATTTATGGAAGCACTCTGAAGTTTTCTGAAGATCAAGTATTTCTGAATATTATTGACTTTTTTTTCGTATGCCTGCAGACCTTCGATTTTTAAATCATTTATTCCATTATGTAGATCTACTATAAGCAAACCTGAAATCCTTTCTGTTGGTTTACTTCTTCTTCGTTTTATTATTTAAATGAAAATGACCGAAATCTACACCGAATTCGAACGTTAAGGTTCGATACATGTCGATTTTACACGAAAACAATAGTATTCAGTTATTTAACTTTTTCAGTTATTTGTTCTTGGTAAAATTTTACAGATTTCTTTTCATAAAGATCAATAGATATAAAATATGAAATTCATAGTAAATTTCCAAATTCTATCTATATGATTAAATGCTTACCCACGATATTGACCATCTCGATCTTTCATAACAGTTGCATTTACAATTGTTCCATATTTAGAAAAATAATCTTTAAGATCATTTTCTGTTAATGGTTCTTTAATGCCACCTAAATAAAGTTTTTTTACTGCTAATTGCATATCTGGTTTATGTGATGCTTCACGTGGTACCTAAATCAAAACAATAAAAATTATTAAAATTTAATAAATTTTTATTTTTCTTTTACCGCTCGTTTTGGTTCTACAACTCGATTATCCAGTGTATGTGGTCTTGCTTGCATAACAGCATCAACACTTGCTGAATTATCAAATGTAACGAAACCAAAACCACGTGAATGACCTTCTCGATCACGTAAAATGGTTGCATTTCTAAATGAATTTATTTATTTAAAATAAAATAAACATAATTTAACATACAAAACTGTACCAAATTGTGTCCAATAATCACGAAATGTATTTTCATCAATACGATATGATAAACTTCCAATAAAAACTTTACGTTTTTGTTCTGGTTCAAGTTCAGTATTATTTAAATTTAATATTTCATTTTCGGTCATTGTTATAGAATTCAAAACTAGATGACTAAGTTTCTACAATAGAAGACATCTTTTCTTTTTTTTGTTTTTTTAAATAAAACAAAAAAAAAAACAAATACATCTCAAATCTAACTGAACAGATAAATGAAATTGTTTTTTTTTGTTTAATTTTATTTTATTTGATACACAATATAATAATTAAAATAATATAGATATACTTTCGACTCGAAATAATCGTATGTTTCTCAATCATGTAGCTGGCTGATCTTCTCATACTCGAATAGAGATGAATACATTTTCTTCTTTATCATGACTCAATAATCAATCCTACAATATAAAAATATTTGTTTTCTTTAACACGTATGTATATATACTCAAAAAAAAATGTATAGAACATAGAAAACTTACTTGCTCAAGTATTTTCTTTTGATTGATTATTGATTATTTTGGTTGTGCTTGTCTCATTGATGAATTTGAAAAGTTCATATTCATACATTGTCTTCACCGTCGAGTTATCTTTAAAAAAAAATAAAGGAATGTGTCGCAGGACTGGATCATATTATGATATAAACTTTTTTCATGAGTAACTAAAATAATAAAAAAGAATTTAAGCAAATGAATAAAAAAAAAGCTTTCTATCAGTTAACTGAGTTTTGATTCAAAATTTTGCCTATGAATAAGTCTAATGGCTCTTAGAATATGCTGAAAGTTTCAATCAAAAAGAATGTTCCTTCATCGAGTTATTGATTTTTCAAGTAAATTCGATTGTTGTAACAAAGAAATACTCTTTTCGACTGAAACTTTCAGGATAATCTAAGAGACATTAGGTCCATTTATAGGCAAAGTTTTGGATCAAAAATCTGTTATTCAATGCTTCGGGAAGTACCTAAAATGGGTAAAACAACCATTAAGCTGGTCATAACTAGATGTCGAAGGTCAACAGAGGAACGAAATTAGATTTCTATCAGAGATGGAATCAGTTCATGTTTCTTTTTTAAATCGAACCGATTTTATCTTCGACCTCTAGTCTATACAAGATAGTGTTGCTAATGAGGGAGAACAAGAAAAAAATGTCTCCTAGTTTTTCCCTTTGTGTGGCATGGTTACACACCCCAAAACTTAAAAGATATCACGAAAATCATTTTTTTTACTCTCTCTCTAGAAGACTTTGAGCGTCCTCAACAAAAAAAGGTAAGGTGTTGAGTCGCAGCTTGCATATATTTCTGTGATGATATCACTAACCTTGTTCCGTATTATCATGTCACTAACAGTTGTCTTGTATCACAACATATATTCTCATATCTTGATTAGATGAAATGATATTGCAAATAAATATTTTAAATGTTTGTGAACATATATTTGAGTTTTATATCTAAAAATATAGTTTCGTTTTCTTTTTTTTTGTATATTCTCTAAATAATCATCGAGCCCCAATACAGGCAATTTCAAAATTCATCAAAAAGAAATTTGAATCCTTTTTTTTTCTATATATATTCCAATTTAGAATTTATTCGAACCAACAGCAATAGCAATAGTAGCACGCGATCTCGTTTTTCACATAAATATTCTCAAGAAGCTGTAATAGTGATAATAGTAATAGTAAGGTAGATAAACGAACAAAAAAAAAAAAAAAGGAAAAAAAAGTAGAACTATAGGAGAAAATGAAAAACCAAATGAAAGAAAACGAGATACACTGTAAAGTAGGAGAAGTATAATTGGAAGAACAAAAAAAAGTGAAAATTTGTACGCATTTTGCGTACAAAAATATATAACAGGAAAAAAACAAACAAGAAAAAAAAAACAGCACCACCAATAATCCAGTGTTGCAGTAGAAAAAAAAGAAAGCAACATTCTAGTTTTTTTCAAAAAAAGTAGCAACTACAATAAACAGAACAAAACGGAAAAAAATTAGCCACAAAAAATTACATGATTATCCCAAGACACACATGACAAGTTGCATAGACAAAATAGAACCCTTAACCAAAAAAAAAAAAAAAACAAAAGAATATATAAGTAGTTATATGTATACACAATCAAACATATAGAAAAATATCGAGACTAGATAGAATAGACGAAACTGATGAAAACCATAAACAGGACCGGGAGTAAACAAAAATGTTAGGAAAAAAAAAAACTAATATAGGGAAACGATCGGTGGTGACATTTATTCTTCTTAATATGTCTTTTTTTTTTTTTTATTCCTTTTCTTTTACTCACAACACACACCGGAACGGCACACACAAACATTGTTCGAAAACATAAAATATGATCAGTATATTTCTTTTTTTTCTTTCTTCTGATGTTTCGTATTCACCGGCATCAAAAACAGAAACGCTAACGATAATGATGTTATTGACTGAAAATAATAATCAGATGGAAAATACTGCTCAAGATCAGAACAAAAGAAATATGAAATAATAATAACAAAAAAAAAGAAAACGAAACCAGAGAAAACGGGGTCACTGTTCTCAAAACACACACACACTACAAACATTTAGGAAAGAAAGAAAAAGAAAAAAAAAGAAGAAGAAAAAGGCCATTCTACATAAGAAATACTGTTCTCTAATACATCAGAATAAACTATACAAATACGTACACTTGAGTAAAATCCTCAGTGTATATGTAGAAATGAAGCCCAAACACAAAATTCGTATTGCGAATGAATGAACGATGATATCTAAGAGATTTAACCTTATGATAATGCACACGAATTAAAATAGAATATATATATATATATAACAACACAGATCAACTTGTTCCATATTGTTCATGCGAATCACTATCTATTTGTGCATTAGATACTGAAGGTGATGGTACACCAGTTGTTGATGTTGAAGCTGGACCTTGTAATGATTCAGCTTCATCCGATGGAATCATCAATCCTGAAGTACCATCATCATATGTTTCACTTGTACTTAAATGATGCA